GGCTAGGAGCTGGAACCAACTTCCAAGGGAAGTGGTGCTGGCCCCTACCCTGGGGGTCTTTAAGAAGAGGCTGGATGCCTACCTGGCTGGACTCATTTGAGTCCCGTTTCTTGTTTTGGGGTTTTGTTGTTCTCCCGCCCTGGCGGGGGGTCGGGCTAGAAGATCTACTAGGTCCCTTCCGACCCTAAATCTATGAAACTATGAAACTATGGATATCAGTTTAACATCACAATGAAAATTTGTCCTTTAAGAAGAAAATCAAGATATAGTAAAACTTTAGCTTAATACCTTTTATCATCTTATTCTGTAGATAAAGTTGCATAATACAGCTTGATGTCTTGAAGAGTTTTTCATTTTCCAGTTTTACTTATACTAACAAAACAAACACTGCAGATTCTCACTAGCTAACTGAAGTGGTTATTTTTATGTGTATGACTGGAGAGTGATAAAGGTTTGGCAGAATTTAACAAGATTGACAAAAATATAGAGAGATTGTTTACTTTCCAGACATAACAGAACTAGATCTTTCTCTATAGACTGAAAACCCTATTTAATAGCAAGAAAATTATGTTATAATTCAAGGCCTGAGTAGATTGAGATCGCAAGTTATAAATGTTGGGTTTAAGCTGCATTTTAAGTTGCTTTAAAGAAGCTCTGTAGGTAAAGAAAAATGCCTTGAGCTTTAGCAGAAAAGGTCTTGGAATCTGTAGAAAAGACAAGTGAATCTTACAAGAATGCATTGCATTCTAATGCTTGTCTAAGTCTTTCCTAACTATGAGAGTAGTCCAGAAAAAAAGATATCATCCACAAAAATCCTTGCCTCAAGAATGTCATCCCACAGTTCTGGAAGCAGAGGGAAGCTGACGCTATATAACTTGGTATAGAAAAGACACAAAACACTGACTCCACAACGTGTTCCTCCCTAGGACACAGCAGAAGACCATCTGCACCAGTTTGACAGACTGCAGAAATTTAAAGATGGGCCTGAGGTGGAAGGAATGAAACAAAAGAACAGCTGCATTCCACAGTATACTTCCCTCAGGACCCCACACAGCTGTGGGTAGTTATTTCCAAGCAGTACTGAGACCCTCCATAGCTGGTATGTGTCTATCCTGCACCATCCATGCCCATTTTTTTACTCACATTTTTCTGGGTCAGTGTCTTTTCCCCTGTTCCCAACACCCTCCCAGCTGCCAGGAGGAGGTGGGATGGCACATAGATCTTGAATTCCACAATGAAGCCACCTTGTTTTTGAGTTAAACAAGTAGCAGCTGCTGCTCCGACCTGACAATCTAGCACCAGTCTGAAATGCCTGGAGCAATGAGTCACAAATACAACCATTAATTAAATTAAATATTGACACAACTAATACAGCTGTATATTACTTTGCTTTAAATAATGCTTAATTTTCAGTGTGTTTCTTGCTCCTTTTTATACTATATAGGATATAGCCCAACTGCACTCCATAAGCCACCAGATCCCAGGCATAGCGGGGCTTCGAGGAACCTTTTATAATTAATATTTTAAAGAAACTATCTAGAACTCTGGATGCTATATGAAACACACACAGAGGTTCACTAGGTCAAAAGACCACAAACAAAATACCACATTCCTACTATGCCAATCCCACTACTAACTATAATTATGGAAATAGGTCTACTCCCATCCCAGCCTATTCTAGGCCCTTCAAGTCACCTCTGTTCCTTACTCCCCCTCAGTAATTTGCCGTCTCCATAAAAAACAGGTGTGTCCTATATTGCATCCTGAAAGAGTTCAAATTCCGGCTGTGGTGTATGACGTGCAGAGGTAGTAGGGTACAGGTGCATGGAGGACAGCCAGGCATTCAGAACTACGCCTCCTAATCACATTTCCTTTACCTACCTTATGGCTTGTGTTTTTGTCCAATCAAAGCCTCAGATGAAAAATTGAAAGTAAAAAAAGTATTAGCTGCATCCTTGAGTCTCCCCTTTATTTTGGCAGTTTCTTTCTTCCTTGCTTTCATTGGTATAAGAAACTGGAATCAGTTTCGAACCGACTGTTTCTGCTGCTGAGTTGTAACATGAGTAGGCCAACTTATATTCCCGAATGTATAAGCAGATCTGACGCTGAAATCAATGGTAGCCATCTACATACATTTGGCAGTTAAATTTGGCCTAATCATTGGATACAGAGACTTTAAGAGAAACCTAACATAATAATGTATAGCAGAAAAACTTCATCTGGCAACGGTGTATTCATCTTCTCATTGTGCTAATGGCTAAAAAGTCTCCTGTGAACAGAAACTCCTTCCTTTTTTAATCAGCCAGTTCTGATCACCTGCCTGACTGACTTCCCCACGCAATCCTGTGACTCTGAATGACATTTAGTTCTGTGTATGGAAGGGCGACAAGGATCAGGTAGAACAAGAGTTTCTAATTTCCAAGGTCTTACATGTTCCTTAAACAATCACTCCTGAAGAGAAAAGAAACAGAAAATATGCATTGCAAATTAATGAGCCTTTCATAGCAAGAAGCAGTTCCTACTTTAAATATATCACTGGCTTTTCAAAAAGCTACCAAAGTCTTATGTAAAATTTAAAAAATTTGGAGACATTTCTGCTGACAAGACAGGAAAGTGAATTGAAGCAGTGTGTTTTTCTTTTTTTCCCGCTTCCCTTTTTTTTTGATGCCTTGCTGTTTTCCTTCATCACTAGTGAAAGAAAACCCTGAAAGAGAGGAGTGATGAGAGAACCATTCCTAAACAAAGATCTCTTTAATGTAAACAGACATGAAATAAAAAGGAGTGAAAGAAATACATAGAACATATAGGCAAAGGGGCAGATTCATTCATTCACTTTGGCTTCTTTGTTCAATGATGGAGTGCAACTGGCCAGTGCAATTGGCTACTTTGCTTTCCTGAAGATTCAGAAATCAGCTGGAGCATATGGGGGAATTTGGCTCTGTATTGGAAGAACTGCATTGATGTGATACTGCCCGACTCAGATCTTATTTACACCAGTTTGAATCTGGAGTTGATAAGTCAGACAGAATTATGTTATACTGGTAGAACTCTGACTTCAGGAGAACTACTTCATTTTTCCACTGACATAAAAGGAGACCCAAATCCAATACCTTTTCTGCCAGAGTTTTCTGGTTAGTTATAGTCTGGGCTTAGTTTTAGAAAATGCTCTGAAGTAGATATCCAAGTACAAAACTCAAAGATAGTGAAAATATTGAGGGCTTCTTTACACTTAGAAGATGAGTTTAAAACAACTTAGTGAAACTGCTTCAAACATGTATGGACACACTTATGCCAATTTAAAATTGGTTATATCATTTTAATTTATGCGCTAAATCAATCCCAGTCATAGTTAAAGTGATTTAAGATGGCTTACACATGCATTTTTCTTTCAACTAGTGCAACACAGGGCACGGACATACGATCAATTTATTGGCCTCTTTCATTGAAGGCTAAGCTGCTGCAGTGTAGCTTCCATTTACCACAGGGTAAATGTGTGCACACTGGTAGTTACTACAGAGCAGCTGATGAACAGTAAAGCCCCACATCCTTTCTCCCACCTTAAATTGTTCCTACATTATATACTTCGTATGTAAAAGAGGCCTGAGAGAGGAGAGTTTGGAGAAGTCCCGGGTCAAGAACAAGGAACTCCTTGCACTTGAAGTTCCCCTGACTTCCTCAAAATAAAAGGTATCATCTCCAAACCAAGAGTTCTAGTTTTCATTTATTTTTGTCTCAGACCAACATGGCTATCAAAAAGATCCCTGAAACATGGCAGATGCCAAATTTTAGCCAATTTCACATGTAAACTTCATTGCTGAACAACAAGAAAGATTTTTACACTTCCCTGCCTTTCTGCAATCTGACACCACCAAGGAAGAAATCATGGACCCAGAGGACACCTCCATGGGCCCAAAGGAACAGACTTCCACCTTTTACTTCCTCTGTGCAAAAATGAAGTTTTTTTTTTTTTTACCAATGGGGACTTTTTAACCATCTTTAATTTTCCCTGAGCCTGAGGAAGGGCATGTATGCCCAAATGCTTGTAGAGAAAGATAATTTTTTTGTGATTTCTTAGTTGGTCTAATAAAAGGTGTTATCTCTGAACCAAGACTTTTAGAGTTTTGCATTTCTTTTTGTTTCAGACCAACACAGCTATCAAATACATCACTGACTTCCTCAGTCACGTATGCTTTACTTCCACAGACATGCATGCTTCACAGTGACTGTAAGATGCTACCACATCAGAATAGTGGCACTTCATGCTCATTTTCTAAGTGTAAACACCTGTACAACATGCAATGTAGCAGAGAACCAGGCCCCGTAGTCTTACTACTATCTAAAATGAACACTGATTATCTCTGGACTCAACTGAAATTTTCAAAGCAGTGTAAAGGATATTAAACATCCAAAGCCTACTGGAAGTTAAAGGAATTGGGTCCTCAGCTTCATTAGCCCCAGTGAAAATCCCAGCTTTCACCTTTCTATCTCAGTGCTTCACCAGTGAAGTAGGGACCATCATAATTCCTTGAATGTCATAGCGGGTAGTGAGGGTAAATGAGTGTATAAGGATGTTTAACTGCTGCCACTGGGTCTCTCTTTCTTTTATTCACTTGAATCAGAGAGGGGAAACCAAATTACTTTCCTTGAATTCCAGCCAGCTCCTCCGAAGCTTTCTTCATGGATAACCTTCCAATAAATTGGAAACATTCATTCTGTGTCTTTTGCTCTTGTTTTTTAAATTTCTCTAAAACAGTTTTCAAGGGTAAATAGGTCTTAAGCATGTGGAAAACCACAAAGGGACACCCCATAGGCACACAGGCATTTCTTGTATTAACTCCAATCTTCCATTATACAGCAGGCCAGCTGCGTTGCTCTCCTGTACCAAGTT